CTACTCAATTGATGTAATTTTTCCTGTTTAAAGAGTACTATCCCACTCAAAACCGATATTTTGAACAGTTCCTATACTTATTTTACGTACTTATATTTGCCTGCGAATTACACACACACACACACACTTGTACGTGCTGGCCGTTTGTTTGTGTTGAAGGATGCATGAGAGCTTTAACTACATGTGCAACCTGTTTCCAGCTCGGCCATGTCCAAAGCTGATGTGTAAAATATTTTTCACATTCGTGGCATGTGCCGCTGAAGCGCGAAAAGGGGCTGGAAAAGGGTTGGGGGTTGAGTCCATTGTGGCCACATATCATGGCAACGATCATACGTCACGTTGTCTGGGTCTAAACTTTTCCAACATGCATCAATGAGTAAAGGAAAACTGAACTTCACCAGTTAAATAAAAAAAAATGTTTCTTTGATTTTAATATTCAATTTATTAAAAAACACAACAAAATGAAATTATTTAACCATCTTATTTATTCATATAAAATTAAGGTTACAGAACCTGTAGGAAGAAAGAATCAACAAATGGGCTTAAAAAATGATGGAACATCGTGACTGAAGAGCAGACAATAAAAGAAGCTGCAAAAAATAGCACGAGACAAAAGAAGATGGGAAGAAACTTAACACACACTCTGACAGAGGGATAAATATTTCAACCCCCTCATTTTGCAGCCCCTTTTGAGGGTCTCGCTTTCAGTCAAGTCATTTGTCTGCAAAGGGAGCTCCCAAAAAAGGATAAGAGGGATAACACATATAGTTATTTATCAAGTTATAAGTTATGATGTCAGCATGCCGGCATTATGTGACTGATAAACCCAGACACAAACACAAGTTAGCACACACATGTCTTCGTCTTACGGCTTCTAAATGAGATGAAAAATCGAGGTGAGAAAATTTTGACATTGCCGTCATTTGTTGTGGCGCTCACTTAGGCGCCCGCTCAAGTTACCCTTTCTGCGGGTGTTATGGTTACGAGTAAATAAGAAAGCACTAAATAAAAAATTAAAATAAATTAATTGTAGATCTGTAGATCAGCAATAAGTATTGGACTATACAGCACAACATTTTTTATTTGATTCTAGGAATTCAAAATATAATATAATAAAAATTAAAAGTTATTTATCTTTAACCAACTTTTTTGAAAATATATATTTCACGGATTCGATAGGGTAGACTACTTGAATCTAGTTTTCCATTCACATTTTTTTCGGTAGCGCTCTCCTTAAATTATGATGATATGAGAAAAAGGCATCCGAGAGCAGCTCGCTGTCTTGCTTGCACAAGCATTTGCATAATAAATTAAATCAACGGAGAAAAATAGAGGGGAAAAAAAGAGAGACGCAGTTGTAAATTAAAAGTTCATGCGATGGCAAGGACATGCCCCAGCTCGGTTCTACTCGTCCTCTCATCTCATCTCAGCCCAATCCCTTGCCTCAACGACACACTTAACAGGGAACCCCAGAGTTCTACGCCTCCCCCGGAGCTCACAAAACACCCTGCCCAAAGGGTTTCCAGTTGCGAGGCCGTCTTCTCAGCTGAGTTTAAGTGGAAGTGAGGCCCAGGAGCCATCGTCAAGTCACCGCAGTCAAGTCCAAGTCATCGTAATCATCACCAACATGAGGACACTGCAAGGACATTTCACATTGGTTAAATCTTAAATGTGCGGCTTAGAAAAATATGTAGAATATATGACAAATCAGGAGATCTAGTAAATACACAGTTATTCATGCATTTTTTTATTGTATTCTCAAAACAATAGATTTAAAAGGGATTTTTTATTATCTGATGTGATAAATTACGGCTAAATTGTAGAACTTTTATACTGATTTGATAATAAGCAACATTTGCTAATTTTATCAAGTTTAAACAAAAAAATTGATTAGCTAAATTTGATAAAGGTATTTGGCAGTCTTACAGCTTAGTATTTGCACAAATAGGTATTTACAATTTATTTAAAGACTTTCCTTAATATTTTTGTTATTAAAAGTTCCTCCGTTTGTGATATTTTCATGTAAACAATTATTTCCCATTTACTTTCCCTTGCAGGTCTTCCCACTTTTCGGTTACAAGGATTCCCCTTATTGAATTGCTCTTGGTAATGCTAATTTATTTCCAACTTGGGAACTATTCCACTTGCAGAAGTTGCAATTTATTTTGCAGTTACCCAACTCCCATTTCATATTTGTTTTGCTCTTTTACCAGCTTTAGTTGGGCTTAATCTAACGCACTCGCAAACACGTCAAGCCACAAAAGTTGACTCTAGACTGTGTTTACAATTGGAGTAAGTGGGTTGAGCTGGGAAAATGGAAGGGGAAACTGAGGACCATAACAATGTCAGCTGGAAAATAATGCTTCTGATGTCTGTTGACGCATGTTGTAAGCCGAGCATTAATTAGGCGTTAGATGCAATTTCCCCGGGTCCATAATGAGCTTTAAGGCAATAAAATCCGTCAGGAGTCGAGTGTTGCAACCACAATCTGCTAGCTTTCGTGTGTGTGTGTGTGAGATGCATCTTGTGGTCAACTTGGTGTTGCATAAAAATCCCATTTTACCCGAGGACAAACCTCTCCTTTGCGGTTTTCCCTCACACACATTTCGCACATTTCCCAAGTGCAAATTAGTTTTTTTCCTGGCTGCAAAGCTCAAACATAAATTTACATTAACACACATGTGAGTGTGTTGGCATCCCTCAAATAATTGCAAGCAAATTGGGGAATTTTCCCTTGAATTTAATGGCTGGCATTTCGGTTCAGTTTCGTTTGCGGGTTTCGCATTTCAATTAGGAGCAATTATGGCAGGCTGAGAAGTGCAACATGTGACGCCAACTTTGGCGACGACTTTCCAATGTCTCTGGGTTTCTTGCCTTGCCCTGGAATACTTTTGGGTATATTCGTTTTGAGGGTATCTAAAAATTCATTCTTTGGTATACCAGATAATGTAAGGATAGTCAAATCTTATATTTTTACAAATATTAAAATACATTTACTTTAACTAAACTTATTCTTTGTACAACTTTTAAACTGGGTATTATCAGGTCGAGTTTCCAGGGCTCTTGTGGTTTTTTTGTACTTCCCTGCTCCAGAAAATGTTGCCAATTTGTTGACAATTAAAAAACTTTACATGTTTCGGAATTAAGCGAGCAAATTGTTTTAAAATGTCCTTTGAAAGAGAGGGGAAACCCCAAAAAAAGAGACTGTCAAAAAGGAATCTGGCAATTCAATGAAAAAGCGAGAGGTGGTAAGACAGCGACTGCCAAAACTGATTTCAATCGCACACATGTGTCGCCTTTTTCAGCAACCATCTTCTATGTGGAACCCCCATTTCGCCACTTTCTTCCTCCTTCGAGGCAAACAAACTTTTGTTTGAGAATTTTGTACATAAATTCAATTAGTAAGCAATGCCACAAAAGTAAATAAGGTGTGTTTCAAAACTATACGACACCATAAATTTCTTAAATATTTTTTTTATTAAAAGTCGTATTAAGGTGATTTTGTTTGAATTTAATCGTTATAACAAAACAAAGAATTTCATGTGAAAACAATATAATATTTGCCTCCGTGGCATAACTTATAACAAAATCTTAATTTTAAGGTGTTTCATAATTATACGACACCATTGATTTTTTCCGGTTGCAATGATCAAACTTACCCGACATTTTTTTTCTGGTTAAATATAAACTAAAAGATTCGATTTTGAGAGTAATCCAGCTTTGGGCTGGATCTTTGATCCTTCTAATCTTCGGCCCATACATAAATATTGAATATTTCTCTCTATATCTTAAAAATTTTTTTTTTTCGAAGTCATATCCCCCAATTTGTCTTAACTTTAGTCTGGTCAATATTCTTAACACTTTTGAATCATATAAGAATCCTGTTCAGTGTATTACGTGCACGAAACAGACCTCAAAAATCATTTTTTAAAGAATTGCCCTTTTGGAACCAAACTGTTTTATTCCAAAAATATTTGATTTTGGGCGATACTTCCGGTCAAAATGCAAAAATTTGTTCTTCAAAACCTTAATAAACTTTCCACATTTCCCAATTGGAACATTTGAAATGCGATCCCCAGTCTGCGCCCCCTTAATGAAATCCCATGGAGAAAACACTCAAATTCGTATGAAAAAATTTCGAAAAAACTTAAAAGTGGCGCAGACTGGGGATCGAATTTCAAATGTTCCAATCGTGAAATGTGGAAAGTTTATTAAGGTTTTGAAGAACAAATTTTTGCATTTTGACAAAAAGTGACGGCCAAAATCAAATATTTTTGGAATAAAACAGGTTTTTCTTCAAAAGGGAAGTTTATAAAAAATGATTTTTTAGGTCTGTTTCGTGCATGTAATGAATTGAAAGAGATTTTTATTTGATTTAAAAGTGCTAAGAATATTGACCAGACAAAAGTTAAGACAAATTGTGGGATATGACTTCGAAAAACTACTTTTTTAAGGTGTAGAGAGACATATTAAATATTTATGTATTGGTTGAAGATTGAAAGGACCTTTGGGCTGGATTACTCTCAAAATGGAACCTTTTAGTTTATATTTAACCAGAAGAAAAATTTCGCTTAAGTTTGATCATTGGAACCGGAAAAAATCGATAGTGTCGTATAATTATGAAACGATCGCACATAGCCGAAAAATAGACTATATTTCGAAAAATTAGCGGTAAGTCCTTAAAAAGAGGGTCAAGGACGCGTGGTATTTCTTTTCGTACACTTCATACATTGTTCTTTCGATCTGCATTTAAATGTTTCGCTTTCTATAAACAACAACAACGCTACAAATTTTCAAAAAATAAGTGTGTTGGTGTCGTATAATTTTGAAACACACCTTATTGAAATGGCAAGGGGGAAAGTGGAAGGCGGAAAGAGCCTACCATTTGTGAACACGTGAGGCAATGGCTGCTCCTCTGGCAACCGTAAACCGTTTGAAATTCTCACGCATTGCGCCAAAAGCGTTTAAGCTTTGAAACCGTATTTGATTGCACCTGACACATGTCATGTGTAACTAAGGAGTCGCCACCAACCAACAGAAGCAACAACAATAATCACAACAACAACAAGAACAGTGGTACCTGTCACACAAACAAGAACAACAATGGTAAGAGACCGGAAAGGAGGGGAAATCACCTGGAGAGCAACAAGCGGAAACTGCGGTCTGATGAATATCCCGCAGTGAAATGCACTGAAATTGTCTCCCAAATGGGGGGGAAATTAAATGCAGCTGAGAATTTCATAGTGGGTGTGCCATTAATTCAATTAATTGTGGACTACAGAGGTTTAAATATGGTGCGAATTACGCAACTATGATAAGAAACTATTATAAGTGTTAGAAGTGTTGTAAATAGCAAAGATATAAATATAGATAGATACACACAATTAAAACACGCCGGGATCAATTTAATATGCGCATGGTAATTTTCTGTTTTTATTTATTTTTCCAATGTACGGCTAATGCTAATTAATATCTGACAGCTTTCATTGCTTAAAGAATTGCAAAAGAAATCGCAACATATTTAAAATATTTATATAAATAACGTTTATTTCAGGCATCTTATCTGTTCAGACAAATTCAATCGAATTGAATTCAGCCGGCTTGTGTTTAAATCCCCCTGGAGCTATTCAAGCAATTCGGAAAACATTTATGTTTCCAGCTGAATTTACAATCCTTTCCCAACTTAACGCACACTGAGGCAAATCGAATTGTTGGACACAGTTTTGCCAGCAATGTAATACGCAATTGTTAACTGAATTTTGGGGTAAATGGGTGACATTATGGGCCATGGGCAGAGCCTGAAACAGAAACTAAGACAACTCGAAGTGTCCTTAGTTGAGAGCAAAAACAATGTTGAGGACGGCAGACTATGCAAATGGAATTGTTGCTGTTTCAGCAACGAAATAAGACCAGAAGCAGAAGCTCGAGCTGAGTATACTCTATCGAGTCAACAATGAATTGAATGCCCGTCTAGTAGTTTCAAAATGAGCATCAGTCGTGGGCAGGACAATGGCAGGACAATGTTGATACAAGTGTCCAGGCAAATGTAATTTAAAAGAAAATTAATTAAGTGTTCTTCTGCAGCGAATAGGAAAAAAGGAAATGGAAGAGAAATTGGTGAATAAGTAAGGCTGCTTCCTTTTGCCTCTGGCCCCATTTTTATTCCTTCGGTGCATTTCTAATTACCGAGCTGCAGGAGAGGGAAAGTGCTCATTTTGTGGCAACCTTTCGGTCATTTGCATGATTATAGCCGGAGCACAAAAGGCAGCACTTATACCCGTAGTCTTTCTATAGTCCCTCCTCGTTTGTCTCAATAAGGCAGCGCGTCAACTTTCATTTGTCATTGTGGGTGCGTTGCTGCAGCCGAGCAAACAAAATGCATTACCGCTGACACGAGGACACAAGGACACCGAAGACAGGAGAGAAAGGACAAGGACTCGACGCAGTTCCTTAGCAGCTGACCCGAAAAAACTCAACCCTTGAGGGGCAGACAAACGGGCCCTGCTACTGATGCCACCACACCCACTAAATACACTGAGGAAAATGTTCAACACAAAAACGAAATATTAATTTTACAAAGAAATTTACACTTCATTTTAACAAATATTTAAGCCTTTTTATTTTTAACTAAGTTTTTTTAAATAATAAATGGTACCATATTAAGTTTTTTTTGTATTAAAATTAATTTTTTAATTATTTGGTAAAATGCAGAATACTATAGAAATCTATTAACACTATTTTAAATCTACTTTATATACGATTTAACAAGGTAAAAAAGTCTTACATTTTGACACCTAATTGAAAATAGTGTTCCAATACCATGCAACTTCCTTATAATGCAGAACTTTCTCACAGTGCGCAGCTACTACTACTGCGGGCTGACTGCCTTCTATGCGAAATCCATTAGCAACTAAAGTGAAATTCATTGTTGCAAAAGTACATGTTGAAATAAATTGAGTTGTGGCAGCATCAACAGCAAAAGCAGCAGCAGTCGGGATGGCAACAAAACTCAGCTTCTATCTCTTCTCCATCTTCTTCTGTTCGCACTGCACCTGTTACGCACACAGAGAGAAAGACAGAACGAAGGATGCCAGGATATTTTGCCGGAGAGCAAACTTGTTTGTCTTTAGCTCTTGCCACGTTGCGTATGCGCAACATTTCAATGCAATTTATTAGCAATTTACCCAGCAAGTGCAGAAACCCAGAAATATTTTCATTGCAAGCCAAAAATTGTTTTATATTTAATATGATGTCAGAGTCATGTGCAAAATATGTGGTTTGTAATCTGGTAGGTATTTTAAAAATTGTAGAGAATAACATGGAAGCATATTTAACTTGAACTCATATTTAACTAGAGTCGGAAAGTTTCTTCAATATTTTTTTTTACAAACATTGCGATTTAAATAAGTGATCCACTTTAGTTTTAAAGTGCATTTTAAAACCATTGTTTGTAAAATGATTTTTTTTTGCTATTTTTCACTTTAAGATTTCGATTACATATCGACCAATTTACTTTTTAAATTATCGTCCATGAAAGTCTTAACTTTACACACCAATTTCCATTAGTCCACATCGACAGATACTACATTTTCGATTCCCCCTAAATCCGCTCAACTAGCAACTCAAAAATCGCTCCCCCCACAGTATTTGCTCTCGTTTTACCCCATCGACGGAGAAGCGCTCTGCATTACAAGTTGGACAAGTCCCCGGAAAATGTTATGTAATTGTGTATACGACACGTGTGCCATGCAGCATGCCGCATGCAACGTGCAACGTCATTAGCCATAAAAGTTCAATTCATTTTGCGGCGACAAGTTGCAAGTCCCAAAAACACACACGCAAAAATTATTTTGTTGGTCAGACTAAGCCCGAAAGTGCCGACCAAATAAAAATGGAAAGGAAATTTTATTTTAATTTGCGTCGACATGGGCAGCCTACTTAATTGTGGCGGTAAGGGGGGTTGAAAAGAGGAGAGTGCATAAAGTGGGCAGGGTAAGGGGTGTCACATGCACTTTGGACCTGAGCACGTGACTGAATTTTCACGCAACGATATAACTAAAATATTTAAAAGCTCGATTTGATATTTGATATAATTAAAAAGACCCAGCTTGAAAAATAGTAAAATAGAATCTTTTTCCTACACAGAGAGAATTTGTTTAAGTTGAAAATGTTTTTAAAGTAGAACGAGATTTTTTTTAGCTTATGTTAGTTTTGTGAGCTTGAATTTAGTTAAATTGACGGTACTTACATTGTTCATGTCAATAAGTAAATAATTAGTCAAATCAGTCGTCTAAATGTATCAAAAAGTTTTTATAAAATTCAATTAAACTTTTCTCTTCTCGCCGTTTTTTTATATTGATGGTGCTTACACGGTTTTCAAGAACGAATGTTCTCGTGCTTCAACGAACGAATGTTTTTATTTCAGGAACAATGTGCTTACATTTTTCTCTCTGTGTACAAATATTGTATCCCGAAAAATTCGTACATTTTGACACCTACCTTATAATTTCATTTTTAACTTTATTAAGATTCTATAAATAAAGTCTAAGTCACGTGCTCATCTCTCATACACACAAATGCATGCCCGAGCCGAGCCACTTTAGTGGAACCCCGAAATTGTGTCATCTTTTGGTTTTGCGCACACAAATTTCGGTTTCCGCTCCACTCGTGTCATTCCCCATCTCCCTCTACTCCTTTATTGCCGTCTCTTTCTATGCATCCCTTCCCTTTTCCTCTCTGCGAATTTGTCCTGTTCAACTAGGCCTAAACAATTTGTGGCTAATTACACGGCATGGCCATCAATTGCGACCAGATACGGAGATACCGAGTGCAGTAACAATGCCACTTGTTATTCGTGTCCAGGCTGCTGGCCAAAACAAAAAAAACACATGCCCAAAAGTTATTTTATAATTAAAAAGACCCAGCTTGAAAAATAGTATACTTCTTTTGTGCACACTATTTGTTAAGCCTTGGCAAGTTAAATTTAAGAAAAATTAAGAAATTTCCAATTTCGAAGTTGAAGCTAAAAATACAATTTTACTCTCTCTTTCCTCTGCGGAAAAGTTCAAGTCGTTGCCCCCCAGTTATTAGAGTAGCCCACCGGCATAAATTTATGTCTGCAATTAAGTCAACCGCATGCAGTTTTTCTTCCATCTTGTCTTGCACTTAAGTGAAGTGCAGTAGCAAAGTTTAATCAGCCGGCTGGGGAGAAACTTTTCGACAAAACATAAAGAAGCTGCCGAGAAAGAGAAGTCACATAAAAAGGTTTTTTTTAAAAAAGATCAAATTAATTTGTGAATACTCTTATTATAATAGCACAGGCTTTTATGCTCTATAAAAGTAATTTATATAAAATCCAGATTAGGGTCTCTACATTTAACTTAAGTCTGAACAAGTTTTTTACGTGACATTTATTTTTTATTTAACTATCTTTCATGCTTAGTTTAGTTATTCCGATACACATAAAATTGCACAACCAAAATGTATACAAATATGGTCTAAATAATGAAATAAATCCCTTATTTACCACACTTTCAACTTAATTAAACAATTTTCCACAATGTACTTTTTGTTTGTCCTGCACTTGAAAGAGATTGCTCATACGCCATGTATGACAGGGGACATTTTTAATCAAACCTTATCGACATGCCCAGGCCTCATGGGAATTTTCGTTCTTGGCTGGCTGTTATTTTTTTAGGTACCTTTTAATGTCTGCCCTTTTGTGGCTTGTAATAAAATCAGCACGAAATTGCCAAATTATTTAGATTTGGCATCAAAAGAGGCGAAGCCAGGGTGCAGCCATATTGTCAAATGAGCAATAAAAGTGTCTTTTATGACCCATATGACAGACGCACTTTTCGGTTACGCCATAGATATTTGCATAACTCAGGTAGACAAGTGATGGCAGGGGGGAACTTCAGTCACAGATCAGGAGAACGTGGTTTTATAAATTGTTTTTTTATTGAAATAAACAAAAGCCTGAAGACAACTTTAAGCCGAGATGTTCACCTTCAATTTTCGTAAGGAAGCGTGCATACTTTTCCGCAGATTACATGGAGATTTTCCCCATTTGGTTACATGCGCAGTACCTACATATCTAAGCTGACATAAATTTCGGGGAGAATGGAATTATTTTGTTACGCCGTTTTAGAACGACGCCAAAGAAGTTTGCCGCATTCCGTTGC